TTTTTTATACAATTGTAATCGAATCATTTATTTTATTAAATTCCTTTGCCACTATTCTTCGGACGGGGAAAGATCCACAAAATTTGAGTCTTAATTTATTGGATTTCCCAGTAATACGACATAGTTCGTCATAAATATGGTAGCAGAGCGTGGTTTCGATCCACGGACCTCTGGGTTATGGGCCCAGCACGCTTCCACTTTTTTCAACGCCAGTGAGCCTTTGTTTTAATTTTTTTGTATTTTTTTATTAATGAATGCGTTTGGTGATTTATTTCTTATTTAAAAATAATGTGCTGAAGCACGGCAGAGCCGCTATTCTTTTGTTGTTGTTCTTTTTTTTATCTTTTAATTAAAATCCTTTTTTTAGACAATTGTAATCGAATCATTTATTTTATTAAATTCCTTTGCCACTATTCTTCGGACGGGGAAAGATCCACAAAATTTGAGTCTTAATTTATTGGATTTCCCAGTAATACGACATAGTTCGTCATAAATATGGTAACCACGCTCTGCTACCATATTTATGACGAACTATGTCGTATTACTGGGAAATCCAATAAATTCAGACTCAAATCTGACTGATATTGTCAATGGCCTATTCATTGTTTTTTTCATATGTGATTACTGTTTTGCTGTGATAATCTTCTCGGTTAGCTTTGTAGGTTGCCAAATGCCTTTAACGGGTTCAGTATTCTTCCCTAAAAATACTTTGATTGAATACAAAAAATATATTTTTTGCATTGTATAAATTTACTTTTTCCACATCCTACATTTATTTGTTAAATTTAAACAATGTTTGTAAATCTCAGGCCCTGAAGATGATCTCAATAAAAATCGAAACGTTGGCAAGATAAAGAAAATGTTTTTCTGAAACTACATCACAACAGACTGTATCTCACGATTTCTGAATAATTATTCTTCCAGGTTGGTAATATTTTTATTTTTTATACGTGTCATTTTTGTAATTGGGTTTATATAATACAGAATACAGAAATACACGCGAGAATTTGAACAATAATTATAGAAATGTTTGTTGTGTATTTACATAGTCATATTATTTTTGTAATAGACTTTTCCTTAAGGTATGCTTTCACGAAACATTACCGTGGTATCATTGGCCCGTGGAGTTACTTCAGTCTCATCGGAATTGTTTTCATTGTGTGTAGTCAATCTACAAACGAAACACTTTTACATGAAACAAATTGCCAATAAAAAGGCCTTCTACACCTCGTAAAAGCAAAAATTTCTTGAAAACACGGCGAATATCATCCCGACTACAATGCAGCTGCTGTGTCACGTTCAGGACTGCCAACAGTAACGTATTCTACGCCTTAAAAGTTATGAGAGTGTGACACTTTAATATTGAGAAAATAAAAAGCTTGTAGTCGGTATTAAATATACAACCATCTTTTTTGGACATGTATCTATAAAGAAAATAAAAAGCAAACACTGAAATTATGGTAAATAATAGCATTTAAATATGAACGATGGCAGCAGAGGGGGCTTGTAATTTGTTCACATTTGTAAGAAATTTCTGAATGTAATAATATGCATGTACCAGAACTTTTCTCTTCAACTGATAACGATGTTCAAATTTCAACAAATACCTATTTTTGAAACAAATAGTTGAAAAACGAATTCACATATAGTGACAGATTTCAGAAAATTAAGGTTTAAAAACACATTTTTACATTTTAAATTTATACTGCTGATCAATGTTACGTTCTTGAAAATAGGTGTTTAATTTTTACCCTAACAAGAGTGGTATGTTTTTAATTAGGTCCAAAAGAGACGGCAAAGTAATAGTTCTTTGTATTAAAGTAAATAAACTATCGCTGTTTGCAAGAGAACTTTTCATATAGAATAACGTTTCTCAAACAATTTTCCTTTGAATACTCAAACACAGGTGCTATTGTATTTTGAATGTACGTTATAAAAAAAAGTTGTCCTGCTATACATGAAACGTTTATTTTCTATGCAATTTTGATACTTGTGGAACATAAAATTTATAGCACGTTTTCTTTTCCTTGTTAAAAAGATAATAAGTATTAGGTAGACAAAATTTTGCATACGAAATGTTAACAATTGAGCATCCCTATTTTACAACCAGGAATATTGGCCGGTTAGATTTGAAACCTAGCGATTTCAATAAAAATGATGAAAATATCGAGTTAAATGTTAATTAAAATTTTATTTCTTGATCACACATCGTTCGAAGGTTGAAAGTAGGTGAAAAAGAATGACATTTAAATTTTCTTATGAAGGTAATTCATTCAATGCTTTTTCCAGGTATCAATTTTAGAAAAAAAATGTTTTATAATGAAGTATATCTTTTTAACTATAAACTTTCAATATTTACCTAATTAAGATTTACAAAAAAATGTATTAAACTATATGACACATTCATCAGATAATAACTTTAATTATGAAAAATGCATAACAGGTAACAGGGAAAAGATTGACTTTTTCCGTTTATATATGTGTGTGTGTGTGTGTGTGTGTGTGTGTGTGTGTGTGTGTGTGTGTGTGTGTGTGTGTGTGTGTGTGTGAGTGTAAAATAATTCAATATTTAATTTTATTATTAAAAAAAATAATAATAAATCGTATTTTTTTGTGGAGTTTCTTAAAAAGCCCGATTTTGTTCTTCCATTTACAGATAGAGAATATTTACCGACTACTTTCCCCTATTCGGTTTTTTCTCTCATGACGAACCACACTGTGTATATATATATATATCACTCATTCACCGAATATCGCAATATATTTTTTCAGAATAAATTTCTAAAATTCAGACTTTCAAAATCAAAACCTAGGCCAACAAAGACACAAATTTTCATTAAATTTTGTCGTGGGGTTCTGAAGATAATACTAACTAAATGCTAATATTTCTACTAGATAGTACACCTATGGGCACAGCTAATTGTTAACTTAAAACTATGAATAAGATAATTTTTGTATATAGTGTAATACAATTTTTTTACGAGAGGTCATTCCAGCAGAGATCGCCTCGCGGATTCTGTTTGTCAAAGAAATTTAACCCTTTTGCTTCTTTCATTTTTTTTTAAATCTTGAATGGATTTTCTTTATTTGAAGCCAGTTTGGCGTATATTTTAAACAGATTTTGTTCTTACGTTCTTTCCTTGTGTGTGAATACGTTACATTTAATACTTGCGCGGTGACTAATACAAACGTGTGTTTCTTTTTTGTTTCTTTATCTTTGTACGTAACTTTGTAGCATATCGATGTCATAATTATTTTTAATTAGATCGGCCATTTTTGTCTGAATCAGGTTTGTGCAGTTTGTTTAATGTTATTTATTGCCTTTACTTTTCTGGACATGAAATTTGTTTTCATCGTTCTCTTAGGTTTTTTAGAATGTCTATTTTCTGTCCGTATTATTCATTGTCGCCATTAATATTCCCTCAGTGTACTTCCGTGTTCTCCCTTATACCTTATTGTAAATACACTGGAAGGAAAAATATTCCTCCCATTTGTAATTTAAATTGATTTGTATATATTTTTATTTTTAATCTAAGTTTCAAGTTTTTTAACGTTTAATAATTGAGTCGTTGTCTAAAAAAGTAAAAAAAAAGAAAAACAAGGGAAATTGTTAAGGAAAATGAAAAATAAAATAAAAAATTTAAAAAAGACGGACAGATAAAATTTGTTTTCGATTTCTAATCAACATTTCAATACCGCATATTTCCTCCTCCTGCCTTAATTACATCTCGAAGACGCCTCGGAATACTTTCTACCATTGCTGGACTTTAGCACATTTTTCACGAAGAATCATTTCAAGATGGTTGAGTGTAGCAAGAATTGATGGACGTGCTCTTATTCGTCTTTTGAGGTTATCCAATAAATGTTCGATGGGGTTCAAGTCTGGAGAACGGGCTGGTCATGCTAAGACCCTGATGTTATGCTGTTGGAGGTAAGTTTGCACAATGCGAGCGACATGTGGACGGGCATTGTCATGCATTGGAATAGGATTGTCGCTGATTTCATCGAGGATAGGGAAAGCACGATGTTCCAAAATTTTAACCACATCATCTCCATTGAAATTCCCTCCCACATCATCACTGAGCAACGGTGAAACGGTTGTCTCTGGGAAAAATTACAAACTACGTACTTTACATTTCGCCTTCTCCACACTCTTTCCCGCCCATGTGGAAGTGTAGAGC